ACAGTTCTGGTTATCTGACTAATGTTGATAGCAATTTGTATTTGTTCAAATGTGTGCCTTAGAGGTATGATAACTTTTTTAATTTATGTCAATTATGTTTGTGACAGTCTTCTGATGCAAAGAGCATCTGTTCTTTGTAAGATCAGCTTCCATTGGCATTAATTTCACAGGATTATTTCATTCTTATGATCCCTCTAAAATACAGATTTGGCATTTATTATTTCCTGGACAATAAATAGATCTATTTAGATGAGGCAAATATTTTAGCCAGAGTGTCTCCTTTCTAATGAGAGGACAGAGATTAAGAGCTTGGAGGGCTTTACACTTCTCAATGATTATGCATTTTACATGCCACATAATTTTTAATATAAAATTATGCCCTATTATCATAGAGAAACATGTAATGTATTCCAGTTCTAGGTTGTATCAAACATGTCTTTGTTGTTACTGTTCTTCATGCTTTGACTCATTGTCCCAAAGTTGTTCTACTCTCTGGATGTCTGTCTGGTAGTGTTCAGAAACTCCCAATCACTAAGTAACTTTTCTACTATCAGTTCCATCACTTTCCCTACCCACTGAACATATGCTCTGATGTGTATCTGTGTAGGTACATGCATGCACATGCATCAGCACACATTCTGGTACTAGGTAGTCTTACTGGTATTGCTAGAATGATCTATTAGGCGAAAGAGCTTAGTCATCAAACAAAAATGACATCACTCTGGTTTTTCAACTTCTCACTAGATAGTAAGTGTTCAGTCACTAAGAGTTCCTAGGAACTCTTAGTGCATGAAAGAAAGTATACCCTTCTCCCAGTAGCCATGCATGACATACTCATAGTCCAACACAATTCCTTCCCATTTTCCTCCTACCCACTCTCCCTTCTTGCTCTTATATCTGTTTTAAGGAGACAGAGCAACTTTGGACTTCTGTCCATATGACCTTGCATGGGTGGCCAGACTCTGCAGTTCTCTTGGCTCGAATTTCATTTCCAATTCCTCATGCAGAAGGGACTTGTGGCTCAAAAGGGTGGGAAAGTGCACTAGAGTTGGTTTGCAGCTGCTCCCAGCTGCTATGAAAGGCCAATTTCTCTTAATAGGAATTGCAAGTACTTCTGTTCAGTTTTCCTGTCTGGTACATTTGAAAAATAAAGCAATTGTCACTACAAGCCAAAAATTCTCTACATTTTATAAGTGAGGGGAGAATTAACTCCTAAATGTAAGCCTTTTATTTTCTGGGTACTGCATTGAAAAATAATTTTAGCAAAATTTTTCTATGCTGAAAAGTTCACTCTCACTAAAGTAAATGAATCAAAGGAAGCAGACGAACTAAGAGCTTTAATGATTAACATTTTATCTTATCCTAAAATATGAAACTAAAATGCTACAGAAATCATAAATTTAAATATACATTTAAATATGTACTCATCTAGTTATACACAAGTACTTTGAAATATTTAATGAATTGTTACTTTTCGTATTAGGAGAAAGGCACCCCTCTAGCTGTTGCAGATCTATACCTACAGAAAGGGGCCCTTCACATTAAATTCTAAGCTCACCTACTTGACCTATCATCGGTGATTTACCTAAGCTTCTAGAAAAAAATTTCAAAGCTTTGACCAAAATCAAGCAGTGTCCCCGTGTTCTTTCATCAATTCGCGAGCACACATATAATGGGAACAGAGCTGCTCATCGCAAAGGGTGGCTCTTCCATACCATGGAAGACACAGACATGTGTTATCCTGATATCCTGTCTGCAAACTTATGTGCAATGTTTTTTTAAACCCCATTAGTGTGGAGTTCCATATATAGAAAACTCCTCTGTAACATCCTAACATTAATAATAAATGCCAATAATAAATGCCCTGGCATTTAAAATTTGGACTTTAACTTGATTTAGAGTAACATGAGAACTTTTTAAATCCATAAAAAATAATTTTATTTTTAGCGATTTTGAATACCTTTACTAAAAATTTATTAAAATAAAGAAATTGTTGATTATGCTTTTATTTAAAACAATTTATAAAGTACTTCAAATTTTCTCCAGGAGAGAAATTTATTTAAACATCCTAGAAACAAGCATTTTCAAACTCCCTAATAACAAGTTCTGCACTTTGTCAGAACAGTAGGGGGCACTGCCACTACAACTGACTCGTGCAAAGTGAGATTTCACTGTGCTAAAAAATAATCTAGACATTATGATTCTCCCATGTCCATACATAGTTTTTTCTCCTATAATTCACTTTAGAGTGAGAATACTCATATATTTTTATTGGTGTGTGTATGTGTTTGTGTGTATTTACGTCCATAATATGTGACAGAAATCATGTATTGCAAATTTAGGTTGACTTGGGAAGTCTTCACTGAATCCCCCAGTCCCCAGATCCAGCTAAGTACAGTCAGCTAACACATACTTAACAGTTTAGTAACACACTGTATGGAAGTTTATTTGAGGGTAGTATTTGGGGACTGAGGGGCCACATCCTGCTGTACTCAGAGCTAACTCCTGGCTCTGTCCTAAGAGTTAACCCCCGGAAGGACTTGGGGACTTTGTGTGGTGCCATAAATAGACCTGAGTAAGCCATACACAAGGCAAGCACCCACGCTGCCTCTCTTGTCCTCAGGAACTTTTCCTCTGCTAGTAAAGCTTTAGTCTGTCTCTCAAATATCAAACTCCAAGTTCAGAGTGAAGATGAAAGACAAATGCAACAAAGTTTCATTAAATCATTGCATAATCTAGGCTCCCTAGATTTGATTTTTTTTAAGTATTCTATGCAACTGAGTTAAACTTAAATTTATTCATCCAATATAAACACACTGCAAATGATAAAACAAAGACATTGCTCCAACACTTGGAAAATTAAATTCACCAAACCATGAAGTCTACTGTGCAGTTATTTTTGTAACCACCATAAATTACTTTATAGAACTCCTCTGCAGGAATAAACAATTCAAGGAGAGATTTACTTTACAGAATGCATCCAGTTTCTAAACAAGAGAGCTGCCTAAAATTTTATGTTTCTCCTCTCTCCTTACTCAGTTTTTAACACTTGTGCTTCCAGTTACCTTGAAACCTTCCTTCTTTTTCATTAGCTCAGAAAGGTCCACAGAAATCAAGATTTAGATCTATAGATACACCGTGCTTTCAGCCACTCATTTCTGGAATGTGTAGAAACAACCCTACTTTGTGGGAAGAAAAAGTCTAATGGCAAAACAAATAAAGGGTTTAGTGCTAAATATTTCACCATATTTAATAGTACCTCAGAGTGAAGTGTTGTCTTAGATGTTTCAAGCAGTCTGCTTGAAATGTGTTCACTTATAGCACTGCATGAGGCTAAATTCAATGCACACTGCAATAGATAAGAGTTTTAGGGGTCTTTAATCACTTCTTTCTTGTGTCCTTGATGGAAAAAACAGAGCTGCCTTTGTGCTAAAAGAAGGACCTGTTGTTTCCAGATTCAACAGGTCATTTTTATAAGAACTTCCCATAGGATATAACATAAATGATAGAAACACAGGGGATTTTTTAAAAGTGGCTGATGATTTCAAATGATATATATTCTATAGTAAGGAGATTGTTTTTCTTTCCAACAAATGGAAAGTTACTTTTAAAAAAGTGTTTATGTTTGAAGTCAACTTGCAGGACCAAATGTTTTCTCATGAGTTGGATTACTGTAAATTCTGCTCCTGAAATCCGAGGGTGTGCTTGACCCTGCAAGCAAATAAACTTGCCAAATCAAGTCCATTTCTGTGTGCACAGTGAATGGTTAATTTAGTGGACCTTTGAAGTATATATAAATCGTATTGTAACTTTGGTGATATTGTTTTGGTTTAAATAACTTGGGGAATGCATATGTAATGAACAAGCTAAAGCTTTATAAAACGGAAAATTCTTACTCAAAGAAAAGAGAAGGAGGCCAACATTTTACGGCAAACAAAATCCAGGTGACACTAGGATTTATTAGGGTTTGACTGATGCTAGTCTTGAAGGTGATCCGAACTTGAGAAGACAGGAAAATTTAAGATCTAAACAGACTTGCTTCCAAAAAAGCATTTGAAAGGTTTTAAAAACAGGATCCCAATCTTTTCTTCCCTTCTCTCCATTTAAAATAAATAAGCTATTTGTGAAGAGAATTGTTTGAAGATCTTTAGGAAGGTTACTACTCTCAGTCCAGTGGGAAAAGGTACTCTTCTTTATAGAGAAAACACTTTACAAAACACTTTACAAAACTTTACAAAACCCCTCTCAGCAAATAAAAATTACTACCAAGGAAGCATTCTTAGAACACGGGGACCCGTTGCTAATACTTGACACTCATTCCCCAACTACCTAATTTCTGTTTCTGAACGTATGACCTAGCATGATGGTAGGGAAAGGGTCTAGGTATATAAATGCCAGTGGCAATGACAGCGTTAAGCACAGTGAGTCGCCTGAAAGGTAAAGAAGAAATAAAAACAATTCCTTTGGAAAAAGATTCTTAGGCTCCACATCTGGTCGCCGATCAGCAAGTTCTTAGCTTCGGAGGGACTTCTCCTCTTCGCGACCAACGTGAATATTTCACAGCGCAGAAGGAAAACCGTGAGAGGAACTCTTTGGAGGAAAGGAAATCCCAAAAGCTAAAGAAAAAAACCCCATAAAAGCCAATCTTGCCCTCCCGCCCGCTGCCTCAACATCCGCTTCCCCGGGAGGATGCTTAGGCGGCGAACGAAATGCCGCGACTTACGGATCGGAGGACCCTTCGCCTTCTGCACCCAGCTGGGGTGCGGGGCGGGGGCGGGGCGGGCGCCGGGCGGGTCTCTAGTCCCCCGAGGCCAGCGCCCCTCTCGCCCGGACACCCACTCCCTTTCCCTCCGGCCCGGACGCCCCTCCCCGCGCCCGGCCTGGTCCCCCCACCCGCTCCCCCGGCCCCTCCGGCCCCCCGAGCCCGCGGCCGCTCCCCGGTACCGGGCGAGCCCCGGGCAGTACTCACCGGTACCGGGCCAGGCCCGGACAGTACTCACCGGTACCAGGCGAGGCCCCGGTCGTAGCTGCGATCGAAGAAGTGCGGCTCGGCGCCCGCGGCGCGCACGTCGGGGTGCACGCGCAGAAACTCCAGCAGCGCGCGCGTGCCGCCCTTCTTCACGCCCACGATGATGGCCTGCGGCAGCCGCTTGCGGGGTCCATCCAGCAAGGCCAGCGCGCCCCGGGGGGCCTCGGCCTCGGGGGTCTCCGGGCGGCGGGGCTGGGGTCCGGGACCCAGGCCGGCGAGCACGCCGAGGACCAGCAGGGAGCCGAGCGCCAGCAGGGCCCGGCGGGGGCGGCGGGGGCGCGGGGCGGCGGGCGCGGGCCGTGCCATGGGCGGGGGCGGGCGCGGCTGGCCATGCTCGGCCCGGGCACCCTGGCCGGGGTCCGTCGGGGCGGGGGCGGCTGTGCTCGGGGACCGCCGTCGGGGCGCGGGCAGCGGTAAGGGGGCGCCCCGACGGGAAGTCCGGTACTCTTGGCCGGGTTCGAGGGGGCCCGGAGGTGGGTGGGCAGCGTGGGAGCAGCGCGGGACCTGCGGGCCGCTGTGGTCACTGCGCCCAGGACACTCCGGGGTATCCGGCCCGAGTCCGGCCCCGAGTGTCCACACGTGGGGCGGCCAGGCTGGGCCGTGACGTCAGCGGCCGAGGCGGGGGGCCGTGTCCGCGCCTGCCCCGCGCCCGCACGGCCCTGGACACGGGTCGGGAGGAGCCGCCGTCCAGGCTGCCCGGGCCCATCGCGCCTGGTCCTGCCTCTCGCAGGCCCGACTGCCTGGCCAGGCCAGGCCCCGACAGCCTAGAGGGCCCGCGCGCGCCCCGGGTATGTCCGTCTGTCTGTCCGCGGCTCCGTCCATCCCGCGCCCTGGCCGCCGGCCCCGGGTCCCTTGCCCCCCCCCCCCCCCCCGCCGTGAGCTCCTTCCCACTGTCCCCTAGTCCCTGCGAGGAGCCTTTGGCCATTGTTCTGAAGCCCTCCTAGGGAACTGTCCCGGGGGGCTTCCAGCCAAGGGTTTTCTCAGGTGCGGTGCTTTACCCTGTTGACTTTCTTTCTCTTGTGTCAGTTTAGATTTAGAATTATCAAGTATTCCCCAAGAACCACGAATAAAATTATGGAGAAGTTAAGATCATAAAGTGTCCACTCCGATTCCAAGTCCAGAGACTTTTTAGATGCTGTTTGTGTTTTGGGGAGGAGGGAGGGAGGGAAGGAGGGAGAGGGTAGGAGGGAAGGGGACAGAGAGAGAGGAGGAGAGGGAGGGAATTACAGGATGGGGGGAGAGAGAAGGAGGGAGGGACGGACTGGGAGGGAGAGAGAGAGAGAGAGAGAATGCAATAGGGGCTGGCTATTTTCCACAGGGCACTTTCCTTTCTCCTAGCTACCCTCTCTCATCTCTGAGCTTCTCAGAGCTGGCTGTGAATGGATACAGTTGCCTCTGCTGTTTAAGGAAGATGCCCCGCTGTGGAATCTGTCTGAGGGGGGCATTTTATCCCAATCAAATTTGTTCCTGATTTCTTGACTTCCCGGGCTCTGCAGGATTTCTTGCAGGGGAGTAGGTGGTCGAGGCTTCACACTGACCCTGAACTTTGTGGGCTCCTGGTGGTCGCTACCCAGAATTCTTAGCAGATCTAGTCTGTGCTGCAGAAAACTCACCAGGAAATCTGGCTCCCAGGTGACTGAGCAACCTTCCTCTGCCTTGCCTTCCGGCAGGCACTCGGTTTAATTATGGAAATGAAAGTCAGGGAAGTAATTTTTTAGCCTCCAAAAGGGACTTAGTGTTTCTAACTATACTTGGGAGGAACTGGTGTTTTGTGCTCTGCTGAATAAACTCTCTGTGCTGTTCAAGCTTTTAGGTTTATGAACTACCAATCCAGAACTATTCTACAGGAGTACAAAGGACTTATTAGATTTTCATGTTATAAACCACTGTGGTTTTGCAAGCATGGAAAGTTAAGTCCTGCAAAGCGTTAATGGCTCTTTGTGCCCTAAACTTGGCTATTGACAAACCAGTTGCTATTTAATACTAGATGGAGATTTAATGTATTTTAAAACTTTTCTGTAGGTATTTCATTTGGATTTGCAAAAGGACAGTGCAAATCCATTACAGAAAGAGGGGCCTTTTAAAAGTTATTCTGAAAGTGCTTTCAATACTATAAATGCTTTTAAACAGTTTCCTCATCTGGAAAATGATGTTCTCCAAAGTTCCTTTTTACTTACAACATGAACGGGGTATGACCGGTTAATGCTCTTCCTAAGCGTGTTTGTTGTCTGTAGGTGCCATGAAAGGTCAAAACAGGTAAAGGTTGGGGTAGTATCCTAACATCTCAGCAAAGCAATCAAGCTGCACTGTAATTCCGCTTGATTTATTTGGTTTGTGTATTAATTGTTATGACCCGAATTTTAAAGTAAGCAGTCTGTTTCAACCTTTACTTGGGGTTCTTGGTCTTTGACAAAGTAAAATAAAGTACGAGTAAACTAAATGAAGACAGGACCCAGAAAAACAGAGAGCACAGTTTTCCCATGGTTATGGATATTCATGAGAAAGGAGAACTTCTAAAAGTAAAAACATTGCATTGCACATATCTCCTTTTATTTTCCATACCAGGCATGACATTTTTGGAACTGTCCTGGTATCAGTTACATGATGGGAGAGAAACATTTATATTATTATTTGACTGTTAGCATATTGTAGTGAAGTCAGAGGTTCAATTTTGTGCAAGTTCTCTGCAATCTAGCCCCGCCCACTTCCCAGTCAGTCTGGCCATGTGACTTTGTGGCTCTTATACTCAGAAAGTGATGTCAAAAGCAGCCAAGGGATGATGTCAGATGACTCAGACGAAAACTCACTAACATTATTAGCTTTCCAGTTTATTTGCAAGATTTATTAAAGACTAAACCTAGGAGATACTGTCCACAGAATCTTACACATTGTCTCGGGGTGTAAAGTAGAAATGAAATATTAACCACAAATACAAGCCTCATTTAACATTTGTAGTAGATACCTTTAAAAGGGTAAAAAAGAAATGAGGAAATTAGTTTTATTAATATATAGAATGGATCTGAAAATGTGATTTTAACATGAAGTCAAATGTGTTGATTAGGTCATTTAGTATTTCTTTCAAAGAACGAGTTCAAAATACAGTGAAAGGAGCCAGTGAGATAGTATAGCGAGTAAGGCATTTGACTCCCATGATGTCTATCTGGATTTGATAGCACCACTTGTGGTCTGAGCATCACCAGGAATGAATGATTCCTGAGCACAGAGCCAGGAGGAAGCCCAGAGCACAGCCAAGTGGGGTCCGAAATCCAAACATCAAAATACAATAGCATCAACATTGCCAGCTCTCTTCCTTTAGAATAACCCTACTTTAATTCTCATTATCTGCTTGTGATTGATTGATATTATGTTTGGCAGCATAGATATGTTGGGTGAGAATGGTGTATCTTTTAATAACTTAATAATAAAGAAAACATTTAAATTAGTACAACTCATGAAGGATTTATTTATAAAGGATTTGTTTCCAAAGTAGTTGGCAAGGCAATAGTGGACTTTTGGAATTGGGGTTTTTGCCATCCTTAACTCTAAAGATTTTTTTTAAAAAGAAATTATCATGATTTAGAGGAAAAAGGTTATCTCAAGGAAGCCCTTGAGACACAGAGTCATCTTTGTTGGTAAAACATAGCTCATTCGCACAAACTTTCATGAAGAGAATAGAGAAGTAAACATTGACAAATCTACAAGAATAAGTATGAGATATTATATCTAGTTATATCAAAACAAGAAGACATATTAACATTATTCTCCATAACCACATATAGTAGGTTTTCTTTCATTCAGATGCTTTTATTAGAAGATGAAATAGTTGTAGTTGATTATTACGAACAATTTGGAGGGAAAATGTAAACATTATGAACTTTGTTATAGTTTCTCCTTGTGCTTCCATGTTAAATTATTTAAAGTGAGTTTCTGCTTAATTGTCTATACTCTTTTATCTCTTTAGCAGGTACCCACCAGGGATTCATCACCTTGAGTTCTCCAAAATCTGGTACTTTGTCTTGGATCTTATCAACATTCACTCATTCTCTATTCAAAGAGCATTTACCTCTTAAGCTAAGACATATCTTTTAAAATGACTTTCTCCTGCCCTCCCCAGAGTCAAATTATTCATGTATATTCAAAACCTTAATAAAAAATGTATAAAGAATAAAATAAACAATTTCATGCAAAATTTAGAATGTTTTAGCTTCCAGTTGATTATGATTAGTGTTCCGATTATATATTTTAAAATACATATTTATAAATCTATAAAATTAGTATGACATAATTTTATTTATATATTATGCAGAAAAACAATGCTTTAATAAATTATTGATATAAATATTAATATATGTATTAAAACTATAATGTAAAATAATTTAATTTAAATTATATTAAAGTTATATTAAGGTTATATCATACTATATTAAGGTTATATTAAAAGTATGTATAATTGATGAATTTACATATTGAATGATATATATGTAAAGTTACATATAAAATTAAATACTCCTACTATATAAAGGCCTGGAGCGATAGCACATTGGGTAGGGCGTTCACCTTACTAGCGGCCAACATGGCTGACCCGAGTTCGATTCCTCTGCCCCTCTCAGAGAGCCCGGCAAGCTACCGAGAGTATTCGATATGCCAGACACAGTAACAACAAAGTCTCCAATGGAGACGTTACTGGGCCCGCTCGAGCAAATCGACGATCAACGGGAGGGCCTTTACCTTTACCTTACTATATAAAGATACTGGTGTATCTTTATATAGTAAGGCAGTGAGGCAGGAGCCTGCCAAGTAGTAATCAGGGTCCCCTGGGCTACTCCCAGTAATACTTGGTAAATCATGATAGGATGGTTTAGTGGGAGTGCCAGAAAATGCGGAGCTACTTGGACCCTGTGTTTTCAGGTACCAACAGGTCTCCTTTTAGTAGTGCTTGGTTGGTGAAGTATATGGATACATTTGAAGAGAGACTTAAAATTTTCTAGCAGTCTCGCACTTATGGAGAGCATCATTTTACCTATGATAATGAATGTAATTGGTGTATATTGACTCAGACATGATTCTAGTTAATGTTTTTAGAGTATTTTGCTAGAATTTATTTTATTCCCTTTACTCCAGAAGATTGGGATTAATTAAGTGTTTACTTAAATTTCCTACAATGGGAAGTTTTCTTTTTAGCAGACTTTAGTACTTGGCTTAAGCATCAGCATTGTATTCAATTTAACCACATAGCTCCGTTTTGGGGATTTTTCTAGGTCCCACCCCATTTCTAGAAATGAAGTTACTAATTGAGAAACCATGTTCATTTTTAAAATAAAAATATGTTCATATCTAACAGTTCCACTTCTATAAGTTTTCTCTCAACACTTACTTCAGACGTTTTTCTGCTAGGCTGTATCTTAATGATCCAAAGAAAGAAACTACAGTCAAAGATGACTGGCAAATTCCCTGATCTGTTAATTCAAAGGATAAAGTGAAGACTCAACTACAACTTTTGTGTGCAAGAGTATCATCCTCCAATAATTGGAGAAGTTATTTTTCACATGTCAGTCATTGCAATTTAAAAAATTATTGTTGACAATCTTTGTCAGAGAGCAGTAAACTGTTTTAAAGAAGAAGCATCCTTGTATTGAGGGCATTCATAAAGTCTCACATACTCATTTTTTTTTATAGTGTGGGAAAAAGCTCTCATTACCCTTACTTTTTTATTTATATATATATTTATTTATTTAATTGTATTTTTTGTTGAATCACCATGAGCTGCCATTACAAAGCTTTCATGTTTGAGTTTCACTCATATAATGATAGAACACCCATCCCTCCACCAATGTACATTTCATTCTAGAATCATATTTTATGTTCAGTTTACTTCTAAATGTGTGTAATTTTGAAGAGGTGCTTTATTTCAGTGTTAAAAAATAAGATTGGATATAGAAATAGCTACAAAGGGTTGTTTTTATTTTTTAAATTTTTGTCTACATATGAAATAAGATCATCTTAAATTTTTCTCTAAGCAAACACTCCTTATTCTTTTTTTTATATTTTGGGCCACACACAGCAGTACTGATGGTTAATTCTGACTCTGCTCAGAGATCTCTCCAAGCGGGCTTAGGGGACCATATGTGATGCTGCGGATCAAATCTAGGTTGGCCGACAGCAAGGCAAGCCCCTTTTCCCACTGTACTATCTTTCAGGCCTCTTATTCCATAAAATCTTGATCAAGCTAAACTCACCCTTTGGCTATAAGTACCAGATTCCCAGTCTATATTCGGAACTCAAAAGGATTTGGTTTAGAAAGGTAAAAGGTAAAGGTAAAGGCCCTCCCGTTGATCGTCAATTTGCTCGAGCGGGCCTAGTAACGTCTCCATTGGAGACTTTGTTGTTACTGTGTCTGGCATATCGAATACTCTCGGTAGCTTGCCGGGCTCTCCGAGAGGGGCGGAGGAATCGAACTCGGGTCGGCCATGTTGGCCGCTTATAAGGCGAACGCCCTACCCGCTGTGCTAAATCATCCCAGGTGACGAGATTAAAGTGCAGGACTTTGCTGCAATTCTGGAAAAGATGTACCCGTTACTTAAGTTTACCTGGCTGACAAGATACAGGCTGGAGCTTCTAGATGACACTTCCCAAGTGAGGGGGTTTGCCTGAGAATGAAGTAAACCATAAATACATATGTGAGGGAGAGAGACTAGATCTGACACCCAGATTTATCTGTATCCTGTTTATAAATTCTCTTGGTAGCTGTTATTGTCAGTGCTCACAGAAATTATAGAACAGATCTGTAATCTGTTCTAGTTTTCTACTTTACTACTTGAGTTTTCTTGTACCTGGTGAGAAAATCTCACTGGTGATGTGATGTGCTGAACTGCTGATGTTACTAGCTAAGACCTGCCAAGAACACCACCTGAGTAGCACTGTTGCTCTGCATCCACCACTTCAGACACGCCTGGCTTGTGCTGTCAGGTCTTACTTCATACAGCCTAAATAAAATACCCTAAGATAATTCTAACAGTGCGGTGCCAGGGATTGAACCCAAGGCTATAAACATGCAAGATGCTGTATCTCTGACCATAATTATGCCATCTTAAACTGCTTTTAATTTGCCCAAGAGAGGTTTATAAATTACTGCTAAATATTTTACTAAAAGTTTAAAAAATGATTTTGAAGTTTGAATAACTTGATACAACAGATATATCTGCTTCTTTGGATATACATTACCATCATTCCACAATAGTATTAAATTTTCATTATGCAAGAATGGAAAATATTTGCTTCTCTGGACATATTTTAATTACATCATTTTTAAAAAACTAGAAGGCTGTGTCACCTTGTGTAGGATATAAAACTATCTAGTTGAACAAATTCAGATTTATTTATAGTTGGAACAAGAAAGAACCCCAAAATATTAAAGTTTAGTATCTTCAGACTTCAAATTCGAGTGCCTGATTTCTTTTTCTCATACCCATTAGAAAAGAGACAAAAATATTAAGGTTTACTATGTTCAGACTTCAAATTCAAGTACCTGATTTTTTGTTCTCATGTTTATTAAAATATTAAGGGCATTTTTAGGAATTAGTTTTAGAGTGGAATTCTGGATAGATTGGCAAAGGGTGAAGAAGGTAAACCAAAAGGAAAGGGTAAAATTTTATACCAGCAGTGAAATTTTATAATCTTTATAGCTATATAGGTAGACACTACACATATACAGAGAAAATATAAAATGTCTTGCAAAATATCCATAGAAAGCTTTGTAATAGGACACACCTAGTACATAAATGAAAAATATAAAGCCAGCCCACTCCATTGAATTGGCCTACTGCCTTCTTCTAAATTTACTTGGGGGTATGTGGGTTGGAATGGAGAATTTAGAGATAGATTGATGATAGATAGATAGATAGAGAGAAGGTGAATAGCTAAACAAGAATGGAAAGTGGGTTGTCACTATCAGAATAGAAGGTATAGTTGTTACCACAGGCCAGCTCTCATTAAAGAATAAAAACAGGCTTGAAATGAAATCACAGTGTGTACTTATATTTCTGTCTAAGTTATATGTGATTCATACTAATCTCATATAGGGGATAAAGGGTTTTCTTCCCAATCTCATATGTGAAGTGATAAATAAAAGTGCATCAATTGCTTATCTGCAAATGGAGAGTCAAGTAAAAGAAAATCATCAAGAATTCTCAATTGGCAGAAGCAACAGTACAATGGGCAGGGAACTTACTTTGCACATGGCCAACAAAGGGATTCAAGCCAGAGCACAGAGCCAGAAGTAAGCATTGAACACTGCCGAAAGTCATCCCCAAACTGACAAAAATTCCCCAAATAGTTGGAATTTGTGAAGGTGAAGGCTCGCATGGCGTTGGTGACCTTCTGGACCTGCCAGTCCCGCTTCTTCTTGTCCAGGTTTTGGTTAGTGTCTTTCTCATCAGGCTCTTCAGAACCGTCTTCATACTCAGGCTCTGGCCCACCATGGTCACTTGCTTGTAGAACTGCTTCCCGGTGATCTTGTGATCAAAGCCCAGCCAGCTGAATTTGATCTTCACCGTGTAGTCCATGTCTTCCGGCCAAGGAAGGGTTCTAGGGGCCAGATAAAGAAACAGTTGAAGAAAGCCAGTCTGGAGCAGCTGTCCCAGACCACGAGAATGATGATGAAGGAGACCCCAAAATTGTAGATGACCTTGATTCCTGAGAAAGTGATGGCCGAAGAGGCATAGGAGCCAATCATCAGGGAAATAAAGGTAGAGCAAAGATCCCCTAACACATTGGGCAGGATCAGTGAGGTGAAAGTCATGCATATCCCACCAAAGCCATTCAGAGACAGGGTGATGAAGATGAGCATGGACATGGAGTTCGGATTACTGGCGCCATAGGCAATCATCAGGCAAGAGACAGCAAAGCAGGCACTGCCCAGCAGCCTGAGCATATTGGGGCCATATTTGTCCATAACAGTGTCCAGGGGAAGGCTGATGGCACTGAGCAGAAAGTAGCCCATGGTGAAAGCCAAGTTTAGCTTCTCCTCCTGGGTCTGGCAGCTGAGCCAGCCCAACTCCTCTAGCTCTGGCAGTGCTGTGCCCCCCTCAGAGCTGTTGGTGACATTCTCTGGCTCAGTACACAGGTAGGAGTAAAAGCCCTCTGACTTGAGCATGATTAGCAGCGAGACCCAGCCCATAAGGACAACTGAGAAGAGGAGTTTTTCCACCACAGCCGTGCAGGCCATCCACCAGTGGCCAGGGCAGTGGCCAGGGTGGGTGGGCGCCATGGGGCAGCGCGACGTGTGGCCCGGCTCTAGCAGTCACTCTGCAGCCACCTGGAAGACTGTCACTACTTGGGACCCCAACTGACAGGCACGCACCCCACCCCCACCCCAGCACAGGTGGCTTCCACTATTGGTCCATGCCCCGAGCCCCGGAACTTCCACTACCTCCACTACCCAGTCACTGCCATGCTCCAGGCCACTTTCCGGACACTCAGGCCAGGACTCATGCACAAGTGAAGCCTCACAGAACCAGGTAAGCAGAACTCTGTGACCTTGCATTCCTGGCTCAATGGGACCCGGGAACAGAGATCCTCTAACTGCACCCACCAAATTGCGGAAACCCAGGGATTACACCCAGAAGCCCCAACCTACCGGTACCAGGTAAATACTTCAATGACAGAACACCACTACCTCCACTACCCAGCCATCTACCTCCACTACCCAGCCATCTACCTCGACTACCCAGCCATTGCCACGCTCCAGGCCACTTTCCAGATTGCACAGTGACGTAGACACATCATAAAACACTTAATAGCCAAGATTATTGGCTATTAATACTTCAAGATTATTGCACCATATTTGGTGGGGTTCAGATATGGTTTGAACCATGGGAACAACTGCAAGGGCGATTACAGACCTTCCTAGAAGTCTCTGTTCCTCTCGGAGAGCCTGGCTAGCTACCAAGAGTATCCCGCCTGCATGACGTACTCAATATGCCAAAATTAGTAAATGCAACGGGTCACATTCCCCTGTTCCTGAAAGAGCCACCAATATGGCAAGATTAATAAGGATGAAGCAGGAGAGACTGATAAAATCTCAAGGCAGAGCTAGGCTGCTAAACAAAGGACAAAAATGACTGTACTTTCAATGCACGTATGCTGGCATCAGATATATCCATCGAGGAACTGATGGTGCAAGTGCGAAAGATCAAGTATGACATCATTGGTCTGACTGAGACAAGAAGGCATCAATCATATCACGCCGTTTTCTACACTGGAGAAGAACTTTTCCTTGGAACATGCAACAAAAGAGGTGTCGATGGTGTCGGTGTCCTTGTCAAAACGAACTTAGCCATAAGCATTGATTCATTCGAATGCCTAACAACCTGAATCAGACAATTACGCTTGAATAGATATGGCTCACTGCCGGCAGCTTCTATCTTCGTTGTCTATGCACCAACATCCAATTGTGATGAAGGAAAAATTGAGAAGTTCTACATGGAGCTAGAGAAGTCCTATAAAGAAGACCACACCTTCTACAAGATCATTGTAGGTGATATTAATGCCAAGATAGGACCAAGAAGATCAGCCAAAGAACTTCACAACAGGACCCATGGCCTAGAATGGAATGAACAGGGTGAGAAACTATCTTAGTTCATCATGTCGACTAAGATCATCCATGGTAACACACAGTTCCAGAAGGCCGAATCTAAACATTGGACATGGGAGTGTCCCAGTGGATGGTTCCACAACGAAATTGACCACATCATATTCAATCGGCCATTTTGCCTGGCTGATGATTCTGTTGTCCCAAAATTCAAAACAGGATCAGAACACGGTCTCTTTCGTGCAAAATTTTACTTCATGGAGCAGGGAGAAAGGGCTGCAAAATTTAAGAAGAGAACTCCCAGAACGACCACCAACTGGGATCTCTTTGGCACTATTGCGGCAACATAAGAAGATGCCATGGTTGACAACATTAATGAAGAATAGGATTGACTGGTTCAGCACCTCTATGATTTTGCAAGGAAGACAGAAAGAGAGATAGCCACAAAAAAAAAACACCTGTCTTCGAAAACTGTTGAGCTCATTCGCCATCACAGCTTGGTGCAAGCCTCAGGCAACTGTAAGTGAACATTCGAGCTTGCAAAGCAGTGCAGAGAAGCAATCAAGGAAGACCTCAAAGAGAGAAGAGCAGCACTGCTGGGGATGGGGCAGAAGCCGGGAAAAGCATTCACAATGCCCGCCATTCCTTTGCCAACTACAAGACCAAGATGACTGCCCTCCAACATCCTGATGGATCTATCACTTGCTCCAGAAGGGCAATGGAGGATATTATCCATGACTTTTACTCAGGTCTCTTTGATAGCCACGTCCACCTGCCCACATACAATATACCACAGGATTGATATGTCATTCCAAACGTTCTCCCTTCCGACACACCATTTTGTCAATAAAGAAGCAAACAGCACCTGACCCAGACAAGGTCAGACCTGAACACCTGAAGAACCTGCCATCAGTACTCATTAATACACTGGCTCAGCTCTTCACCCGCTACCTGTCTGAATGCAAGGTTCCATCCCAGTGGAAAACCAGAAGGACTGGACTACTGTACAAGAAGGGAGACATCCATGACATTGGCAACTATCGCCCAATCTGCCTGTTGTTTGTCGTCTACAAGATGTTCACTCGAGTCATTCTGAATAGGATTGGCAGAACACTAGATGAAGGACAACCATGAGAGCAAGCTGAGTTTCGAAAAGGATTCATCACGATCTACCATATCCGCACGGTAACCAAGCTCATTCAGGGTTCTCAGGAGTTCAAGATGATGCTCTGTCTAACGTTCATTGATTTAAAGAAGGCCTTTGATTCTATTGAGAATGAAGTGGTCATTGAAGCCCAAGTCAAACAGGGCGTTCAAACTCAATACATCAGGATCCTCCATGAGCTTTATTATGCATTCACTACCAGGGCCTCACCATTATACAAGGAAGTGATCATTGATGTCAAGAGAGGGGTTCGGCAGGGTGATACCATTTCACCGAAACTCTTTAGTGCCACCCTTGAGAACATCATGTGACGACTGGAATGGGAAGTTATGGGAGTGAAGATAGACGGTTGGCATCTATACCACCTCTGCTTCACTGATGACATCGTTCTAATAACACCAAACATTAGCCAAGTAGCACAAATGCTGGCCAACTTCGATCGTGAGTGTGAAAGGTCGAACTGCAACTTAATCTCACGAAGACAATGTTTATGAGAAACAGACTCGTTCCTGACATTCCATTCACTCTTAACTGAATGAATATCTCCAAATGCAACTGTTATGTGTACCTAGGTTAAGAAGTCAACATGACGAATGACCTGGCACCTGAATTGTGCAGGAGGAAGAGTGTGGCTTGGAACGCCTTCAAGAGTGTCGGAGAAATAGCTAAGAGGATAAAGAACCTCTGGCTCTGGGCACTACTCTTTGATTCCACTGTTCTTTCTGCTTTAACATACGCCTCAGAGACCTGGACTCTATGAAAACAGGAGAAGAATGCTATTCGGGTCTCCCAAAGAGGATTCGAAAGAGCTATGCTTGGAGTATCACGCTTCACTCAAATGAGAGAAAGAATCCGAGTTCCAACCTCCATTGACGGTCGAGAATCAAGGATGCTGTCTCGTTTGCCAAAGCGTCGAAAGTCAGATGGGCTGGACATGTAATGCAATTTGGAGACGATCACTTGACTAAGAGCCATTACCGACTGGATTCCACAGTACGTCAAAATATCGCGGGGCCACCCACCTAAGAGATGGTTAGACTTCATTGTCAAGACCCTGAATGATCGGTTTGAGGTTCTTTGTGTTCCTTGGAGTGAACAGACGCCATTGGGCTACAGTAGCACGTGACAGGGATGAATGGAGACCTTACTGGCTCCCGCTTGAGCAAATCAATGATTAACGGGATGTCAAATGATCAAGTGATCAAGTTGGAATTTAATAATGTTGTATTGAAACTTAGGCAACAATTTTATAAGACGAGAAGAACAAGGTGGTTGTTTCAAAATGAGAAACAAAATAAAGTTAATGGAAGTTAATTTTTAGAAATGTTTTTGCTAATATGATCAAGGAAAATGAGAAAGGACGTTGATGTTGGTGAGGATAGTGATGATGATAATAAGAGTGAGAGAAGAAGAGAGAGTGAGAGAGAATAAAACGAGTCAAACACTAAACGGCTGAGCAGTTTAGTTTAGGATGTTTTATTATTTTCTTCCGGGACGCGGGCCCCGTACTCACGAAGCGCTCCCGTCCCCCTCTCACGCGTCACCAACTGCCAGCGACGGCCGGGTATGGGCCCGACGCTCCAGCGCCATCCATTTTCAGGGCTAGTTGATTCAGCTGGAGCGATAACACAGCGGTAGGGCGTTCGCCTTACAAGCGGCCAACATGGCCGACCTGAGTTCGATTCCTCCGCCCCTCTCGGAGAGCCCGGCAAGCTACCGAGAGTATTCGATATGCCAAACACAGTAACAACAAAGTCTCCAATGGAGACGTTACTGGGCCCGCTCGAGCAAATCGATGATCAACGGGAGGACCTTTACCTTTACCTTTACCTATTATTTTCTTATCATGAAAATCATTTAAACAAGACCAAGTCTACCTTCAAAATCTCCCTAGTTCTGGGAAACATCCCTAAGAAATGATTCTATCATGAAAAAATTTTGGGAAATTATATCTTCTCTTGAGCATTTCTGATAATCTCTGCATATTGATTTGTAGTGATTATCAGCAATGATTTTTCCATTACAAAGTCCATTACAAATTTTTAATAATTTTCAGGATACCTTAAATATCCTTAAATATCCAACCCACACGGCAGAGCCTGGCAAGCTATCCGTGATCTATGCCAAATACACCAAATTGATATGCCAAATCCAGTAATAAATGGATCTCATTCCCCTAGCCCTGATTATGCAGAGTCGAGAAGGATATGGAAGGAGAAGCTGATAAAACACCAAGGCAGACATGGGCTGCCAAAACGCAGAAAAACAAAAATGATTGTCTGTACTTTTAATGCTCGTACGCTGGCATCTGCTGCATCCATTGAAGACCTTATGGTACAAGCACGAAAGATCAAGCACGACATCATTGGTCTGACCGAAACGAGAAGACATCAATCCCATCATGCTGTTTTCGACACTGGAGAAGAACTGTTCCTTGGAACATGTGATAAAAGAGGCGTCGGTGGTGTCGGTATCCTTGTCAACACAAACTTAGTCACAAGCATTGATTCAT